CCCTGCCCAGCCCCTATGTATGACCCCTGCCCCTTCCCCCATCCCCTCTAGGTCCTCCATCTGCTGTCTCTCCCTCTCCCCCCATGCCCCATTTCTTCCCTCCTCTCAGTCCAGCTCCTGTTCTCTGCTCCCCCAGGTCAGACCCCTTCTGGCGACCCACTAGGGCAGCTGCCAGGGGACACCCCCCACACACAGGGGAATAAGCAGAATTCATGCCTCATACACAGGGCAGCCTTGGTCACTTGGCTTTATTGGGGGGGGAGGGGGCGATGAGGGGGGCTGCTCCCTGGGGGCACTATGGTGGGGGGCGGAATCGAGAGCTGGGTTTCTCTTTCCTGGCAGGGCTGCAATGCCAGCGGGTGACACTTGGGGGGCTCACTCTGGGGCGCAGCCCAGGCCACCCCACGCCAGGCGCCAGACCTCGTTGTGGCGGTCGAACAGCTTCATGGGGCTGCGGAGAGATGGGAACAATAGAGTGGGTCAGGGCTCGGGGTGACCCCCAGAACCATCTGCAAGGGGGAAACCTGCCCCCCAATCATCCTCACCCAGCTTCTGGGGTAACTGGGAAATCTGCCCCCCACTAACTCACCCCAGAACCTGCTGTAATGGGGAAACTGGGCCCCCCTTCATTCCCCTGGCTCCAGGGGTAACAGGGAAACCTGCCCCACAAGAACCTGCTGTAATGGGGAAACCTGCCCCCCAATCACCCCCACCCAGCTTCTGGGGTAACAGGAAAAGTCTGCCCCCTTTAAAATAGGTCTATATACACATACCTGTCTCATAGATCTGGAAGGGACCCTGAGTCCAGCCCCCTGCCTTCACTAGCAGGACCAAGTACTGATTTTGCCCCAGATCCCCCTCAAGGATTGAACTCACAACCCTGGGTTTAGCAGACCAATGCTAAAGGCCCCGGGTTTAGGGCCAAGCGCCCAGCCTCCCACTCCCCACAGCACTGCACCCCCTACTGAGTTGCTCCCCTGCAGTTTGCCCTGCTGCTGTGCCCCAAGGAACGCTGGCCCTGCTCTGCCCCAGCACCCCAGGGAGGCAGCAGACGGGTCTCCCCCACCTGTTGTAGCCAGCAGAGTAGTGCCAGGAGTGGTCGAAGTGCCGGGCGTCCCGCCCCAGGGAGGCATCAAGGGCCCGAATGTGGGTCCCTCGATTGGCATCCGTGAGCCACCCCCCGAAGGAGCGAACGTAGGTGGGCAGAGCAGGGAACCGCTGGACGAAAACCTGAGCCAGACACAGAGAGACGGTGTCAGCCCCAGCCAGGCTGGGGTAGGGGTGGGTGGGGTGGTGACAGCGCCAGCCAGGCTGGGGTAGGGG